TGACGGACGAGTTCTAATGGTGAATGTGGAAATTGTAATGTGTGAATGGGTCGTGAATCAGATTAGCTAGGTATAGGATAGTTAGTGATGACCAGCCTCAACCCCTCCCCTTTTTTAGGCCTTGTGCCACAATTGTATTTTAAATACAATAAATAATAATCGCTAGTTACCTGACTTAGATGGAAAATCGTGTTACTACGCATAGTAGGAATGGAACTCTATCGTAAGTCGATGACGTCATCAACTTTTGCTTCTTCATATCTAATCTATATATTAAGTTCGCCAGAAAGTTATGATTCACTTGGGAAGCGTAAAGAAAACAACATAATTTTATGGAGCAACACCAACATTTATTCTTCAAAACAAAGTCCATCATTCTTGGCGATCTTCTGCCAGCATCCGAATCTTTCCCAGATGCCAGTCCGCTGGATTTGAATAAAAAAAAACCCCTCTAAACAAGCTTCCTTGACTTCATCAAAAGTGTTGAATCGCTGGTCGCGGAGGACGTATGCCATTGAGCGGAATAGGCCATAGTCACTCGGAACAGCATCGGGACTGGATGGTGGATGTGGAAGAATCTCAACACCATCCATCTGTTTGAACTTCTCCTTAGACAACCTGGCAGTGTGTGTCTCGCATTGTCTTGCTGAAACAAATCTGTTTCTCTCAATTCACGATCATCTGTTCCATCCATCGACCATTTCTGTTGATCCATATTTTCCCCACGGTCTATTCTCGCCTATCTATCGTTGTGATTGTCGGTTAATAGCTATCTAAATTCTGTTAATACCTTATCTCTTTGTTCCTATATGTTGCAACCTATTCCAATGCCTATCACTGTGCCTCGTTGTGGTTATCTGATTAACGCATATGCGAGCACATGTGTTTGCATCCAAACAAATTCTTTCACGCTTATTGTATTGCTACTAATTTGAAAGGATTCAATATAACTTTCAGCAACGCACAAATTAAGGACGTGAATCTCTAATTACAGAATGCATAATCGTTCCATTTAGATATTATTTATGAAATATTTTGAAGTTTCTTATTTTCAATTATTTCATTTTCTGATTATCCACCATTTTCTTTCGTATCTTTTACTTTTACTCACCAACAGATCGTCTTTCTTTTATCTTTTCTTTCTTTACAAATATCATTTTATTTTTTCGTTCAACCATATTTTCTTTATTTTTCTTTCTCACTTTTTCTTTTTTCTTTCTTTCCAAATATAATTTATATTTCTTTCATTCCAACAATATTTTGCTTTTTCTTTCTTTCTCTCTTTTCTCTTTCTTTCTTTCTTTCTTTCTTTCTTTCTTTCTTTCTTTCTTTCTATTCCTACAATTACTTCTTTCTTTCTTTCTTTCTTTCTTTCTTTCTTTCTATTCCTACAATTACTTCTTTCTTTCTTTCTTTCTTTCTTTCTTTCTTTCTTTCTTTCTTTCTTTCTTTCTTTCTTTCTATTCCTACAATTTTCTTTCTTTCTTTCTTTCTTTCTTTCTTTCTTTCTTTCTTTCTTTCTTTCTTTCTATTCCTACAATTACTACTTTCTTCTTTCTTTCTTTCTTTCTTTCTTTCTTTCTTTCTTTCCAAATATAATTTTATTTATTTCGTTCCAACCATATTTTCTTTCTTTTTTTTCGCTTAAATTTTATTATTAATTTTTTTTAACGAACATTTCTTCCATTGTTTTTTTTTTTATCACACCTCTCGCTTCCATATTTAACCTCCTACAATTACGTCAACAAATCTCGATCGGAAACAATGAACATGTTTCCGGCAAGATTTGAACCCACATCCCGTCTCCTTAACAATACTATCTTATTTAGAGTAGACTGCTGCATTGCTCTACTTCAGTCTAATTAGTGACTCGTTCTTTATTTGATTATTAACTAAACTTTTTCCTTGACTAATTTGCTTTTTACATACATTTTAAATTTATCTATTTGGCTTGTCCAACAAAATTTAAGAAACGTATCACAAAAATTACATTTTCAAAACGCTTGTTGCCACTAAATTATTATCATCATGATCGTCATCATCATGATCGTCATCATCATCAGCAACTTTGTAAATAATTCTTATTAGTATCTACAAGACCCCTTGACCTTTGCTAACTCATGAAAGTGCCGCAGGTCTTCCAATTCTTCAACTTTTTTTTTTTACGAGAAATAATGGAATTTAACTTTTAATGTCGTTGTTCAATAGAAATACTGCTCACGGCCATATCAGTTTAAAACACCGGTTCTAGTACGATTACCGAAGTTAAGCAACGTCTAGTCTGGTCAGATGGTTGACCGCTTGGGAATACCAGGTGTTGTAAGCTTGGATGTGCGGGTGGTGTAATGGATAATGGCTCAGAATTGTTAATCGGAGAGCCGAGTTCTAATTCCAGTTGGATTCCTTATATTAACTTACGCGCAAATATCCTTGGGAAATGTATGAACTTACCTCTTCACCACTCGCTATGGGTTAATTACTAAGACTTGTATCACTAAATCATTATTATCTAAAAAAAAGACAACTTTTATTGACGCCATCACAGTCGAGAAAAAAGGACCTTAGAGGAAATAAAAAATGTTCGGTCGTAACCCGTCAACAAGACAAGCACAAAAATATCTCTCGTTTATTCATTATGACAACTGAGAGAAGATTGATTTGTTTTTGTTTATGTCTTATCAACCCTTTACAGGTTATTTAAAGCCAGAAAATAAAATAAAACGTTTTTGGAGATAATAATGATTTATTGATAGAAGTCTTACTAATTAACCCATAGCTGAAGGAGAAGAGGTTGATTTATATCTTTCCCAAGGATATTTGCGCGTAAGTGAACATAACAAACACGACTGGAATTTGAACTCATCTCTCCGATTTTCAATTCCTTGCCGTTATCCATTACACCACTTGCACATCCAAGCTAACAGTATCCCAAGCGGTCATCCCTCAAGGTACTGACCACGACGTTCATTAACTGAGAGAAGACGTTTTTATTTTTAAAATTTGAAACGACACTGGGCGAACAGTAAAAAGGTTCGTGGAACCAAAAGTTCACTCCTTGGTGGATGTGGCTCTGCACTTTACACTGTCTCTTCTCTCTATGAGGAGCTGTCTTGCCTTTCTGGGAGTAGGAAATTCTCCAAGCCTTCTTTTCTACTTGTGCCCTCAGAATGTTAATTATCTCTTTCTGACGTTATCACAATTTGCACCCTTGTGCAAATTAATTGAAACAATCGTTTTAGTTTCCTTTATTTCACCATACGGTCAGTTTTAGACCCACTGGTGTGACAGGGTTTAATCGATTTCTGTTTTTTTAGGTCATTTGCCGTGGTGTACAGTAATATGAATCTATTTTCGGGGTGTCTGATGAAATTAGTTTGACCTTGAAAAATATTGCGTCATCTGTGATTGCATCCGATTTTTATCACGCCCAGACACTACTGTCTCGACTGTCGATTAGTTGTCCTATTGTCTGGAAGCGTACGGAAATTGTAACGCTGCACGAACGCACTTACTAATGAGCAAATCAAAATACTATAGACTGTTCCGGAAAATCTCCTGATTTAAATCCAATCGAGAATCTGTGGTCAATCTGCAAGGAACGACTTCGTGAAATGGACATATGAAGTACTGACATGTGCACCGAGCTGACCCTGGATGTTCGCCTATCCTGATGAACAGTTGTTCTCTCAAGGGGTTCCTCGTCTTGAACTTGGATTGAAACTCAAGTTCACTTCAGATCTCAAGTGGAACTCATCTATCCGATCCATAGCTAAAGAAGCGGGAAAAATGGTCGACTCCTTATACTGTTCCAGAAAGTATCTGATTCCTCCTATCCGTACAAGATCCAGATCAGATCAAAATGGAGTACTGCTTCCAGATCTGACCTTGAGCTAGCCATTCCTCACTTTCCTTGAGTGGGAGGGAATTATTTTTCACCCTACAATCACTTCCCCACAGACTAAACATCCCAAACCTTCCGCTAGTCTATCGCTATTTCTATGGCAAATGTTCTGGCGAACTATAATTATTAGTTTCATATTTAAGACTCGCCATACTACGTACATTGTGACGAATCATTGCCATTCCGTCTGTATTCCATTAGTAAGGAGGAAGTACCATTCAGACAGCTTCTCAAGAACAGTTTTGTGGAATAGACTCCCGAGAGGCTGCTTCCCCGATAACTAAAATATTAACCTTTTCAAGTCTACGGTTAACCGTTATATTTCCTACATATGCCTATAATGTGCACTACTTTTAGTGTCTCTTGGGCCTTGTATTAAATGAAAAATTGGTGAAAAGAAAGTTCCTGTACTCCTTCGATCTTCTTACCTCTGATTCATAAATATCTCATAAACCGTTACCTGTATACAACGTCAACTCTTGAAGTTAAATAATTTTGATTATAACCGCAACAAAGGATTATTTTATGCGAAATAATCGTACTTACATCCAAGAGTCGATGAAACTGTTTAGTTTTAAACAAATATGGCCGCTCAGCGTCACGTTCCCATTTTGAAACGGAGGAAGGCAAATATTTAAATTTGCTCAGCTCTCAGCCACAACGACTAACTCCGCCCCACTTTCCCGATTTCCGCCGACAACGAAAAAAGAAGGGCGGTGATTGGAAAAGGAATTTTCATTTTTAGATTTTGATTAAAGGTTCCCCCGCCACGCCGCCTTCTCGTAATTTCACGTAAGTTTCATTTGATTGTTTGTTCTATTTAACGAAATTGATTTTTTTTTCCAAAATGTTGTTCAGTGTTTCTCCTTTAGGAAGCATCAAGCTATAATCAACTTGAAGGACTTAGCGAATGGATAATTGCCTTTGTTTTTGTATGTATTGATTATTTCTTAAATTAGGTTTGTTTATTTATTTATATACATAATTTCTTTTTTAATTTCACATTGTGTTTGAGATTTTTTTCTTGTTGTTGATGGTAATGTTAAAATAAAATCTTAGAATTCGATTGGTGTTTAATATATTCAAAAAAATAAATAAATCAACCGGAGTAATTTTCATTAGAAGCAGACGAGAAGGGAATATTTGTGGGGTTTGTGGTGAGAAAGAAAGAGGCAATGGAAAACAGTTTGACATGAGAAAGACGGAAATGAATAAAAATAATTCTTAGAAAAAAAAAAGGAAAGAAAAAGAGAAACAGCTTAAGTAAGAAAAAAGTGTTAAATAAAGAAAAGACGAAAGAAAAAAACGAAAGATGTTAGATTACAAGAAAGGAAAAGATAGAAAGAACGGAAGGAAGTAAGGAATGAAAGAAAAAAGAAAAATTTTAGAGTAAAAACAGAAATACAGAATGAATCTTAGAGTAAAAGAAAGGAAGAAAGAAAGAGAGAAAAGATCTTAAATTAAAAGAAAGAAAGAAAAATAGAAAAGGTAAAAGAACGGAAGGATCTTAAATTAAAAGAAAGAAAAAAGGAACTTAGATGTAAGAAAGAAAGAAAGAAAGAAAGAAAGAAAGAAAGAAAGAAATAAAAGCGGAATGTTGGCATCAAAGAGTTGAGGACAAGGGAAAATATAGATGAACAAACAAAAGAAGTAAAAATGAGGGGAAAGAAAGAAAGAAAGAAAGAATCGTAAATTAAAAAAGAAAGAAAAAATAAGAAAGAAAAACAAAGGAAGAATCTTGGTTTAAAGAAAGGTTCTTAAATTAAAAGAAAGAAAAAGACAAGAAAAAAGGTTCTTAAATTAAAGAAAGAAAGAAAGAAAGAAAGAATGGAATGTAGGATTTAGAGAGTTGAGAACAAGAAAAAATGTTGATAAACGAATAAAAGAAGTAAAAAGAAAAGGAAAAAAAACGCGGTAAGAGAAAATAGTGTGAAAAGAAAGGCAGTAAGAATTGCAAAAAAGAAAATAAAAAACAAGAATCGGTGTAGAAAATTGGGAATAGCACAAAGAGAACGAATCCCGACCAAAATAAATGAACAATTAAAAAAAAAAAATTATGCAAACAGAAGATAAATAAAAAAAAGAATGAGAAAGAAAGACAGAAGTTAAAAAAAGGAAATAACAACAAAAGAATATATTGAAGAGTCAAAAAAAAAAAGGAAAAAAAGGCCCTGCGTGACATCTTGATTTATCAACGATATTTTAAGCATTCAAAATTGCATTTTATATTTTAAATTAAATTACTGTCAAATTCGACGATTTTCAAAATCACCATTTGTGAAGTGTTTTTGAAGTTAAATATAAAACATTCATTATAGGATTTTTAAAATCCTTTTGATTGAAAATATTCCGCCTGCTGATTTCGATTGTCGAATTAATAACCAAAGGGAAGATAACTCATGGTTTCATGAAATAATTAAATATTTCTTCATGTTTACTCAGCTAAAGCGTGGCGGACACAAAGACAAAAGGGTGGAAATGTGATGAAGAAGATTTTGTTATGTCAATCTTATCTTCCAACTTCAAAAGGTCTTCTTTTCATGTGTCGTGTTCTTTCAGGTCGTGGGCGATCATGGATCTCCATCACTTCCTATTCTTCTCTAGCTCTTTTTATTATTCTTCACAATCTCTGTTCTGTCATCCATTTACAAAAACTCATGTTACACGCTGTTTTTCTTTACTCCTCTTTCCTTCAATATGTCTTGTGAGTGCCAATTTTTCCAAGCCTCTTTCCTGATTATGTGTCTTAGAAATATTATCTTTTTACATATCTGCGAGGAAATTAAACACCATATCGAAATAGAATTTTGTTTATTTCTGAGCTACAATTTAAAATGCATCAGCTTAGAAAAATTTTTTTTTTTTAAATTAATGTAAAATATCAATTTGAATTTGAATTAGTCGATAGTCCTTCAGCTCATTTGAAAAGGATCTTCCGTTTCTTCTTGTAATAGTCAGCGTTGGTGTGCTTGTGGTGGTACTGAGCATGCGAAGGACCGGATGTTAACCCTCAGAGGTCTAGATAGCAAATGACCAATACTGGTCTTTGCGCACCAGGCTCGACGCATAAGTTCCGGTGGAAAATCAAAAAGAAATAAAAAGAATATAATAAGCAATTTCCACCAATTAAACGGCTCCGCGCCATATCCAACAGTTTGTTTCAGCATACTGACTCAGATCCGATGGACACACATAAATAGAACGATGAATTCACTTCTGGTCAGAAAGCCTTGAAGTTACCGTCATAGAATGTCGCTACGCTTTTCTCACCCATCAACCCGACGCCTCCAGTTTTCCTTCACCAACGGAGATATCAAATGACACCTACCAACCCATTGACCTCACCTTTCATCTCCTGGGACCCGCACGCCTAAACTTAAGTATTCACAAAATGACACTTTAATTCCTTTCATAATCTGATTTCTTTTCTTTAAATGAACATTTTAATAACGGACTTTGTGCGTGTTAATCAAGAAACATTATACTTATCATTGATGTGTATTTAAATATAAAGTGTTTCTGATATACCCTTCTCTTTCACATTTTGTTTGTTTATGTTATGGTGACCTCAATTTGATTGCTTGTTGAACCTTTAGGCCAAACTAGCAGCTGTCCATAAGTGACTGCTACTGCTTACCTACCTTCTTATACAAGCAACAATTACCAACGAATATACACTTCCCACAACTCCACATGCTAACAACAACATTAGATAAAGAGTTTCACTTGTCTATCACCCTCAAGGCAAAGAAGTGGGATCTCGTAACCATTTCAGTTTGTTTTTTAATCAATTGTTCGAATAACCACGCATTGTCCCGTTTGAGATGGTGAAGAACTTGTCTACTTCCATTTTTGAAAGGCCATTCAATGTTTTGTATAATGTACTCAGATCGGAGAACTGCTGTCTTCACTGAAGGGAGTGTAACTTGACTTTCAATAACGAGTTATACTCACAATCATGACTTTTAAGAAAGGAGTTGCACTCATCCTCTTGGCTTTAAGTAATAATTGCGCCCACACTGGTGACTTTTAAATAAGGAGGTGAACATATCGTCTTGTATTTATGTAAGCGGTTGGACTTATTACCATTTTGAGTTTTAAGAAAGGAGTTGCACTCAATATCTTGACATTTATGTAAGGAGTTGCATTCACCTTCATGACTTTTAAGTAAGGAGTTGCACGGACTTTTATGACTTTTAAGCAAGGTGTTGCACTCACCCTCTTCACTTTAAATAAGGTGTTGCAATCAACCTCTTGACTTTATGTAAGATGTTGCACTCACTCTCTTGACTTTAAATAAGGTGTTGCAGTCACCCTTTTGGCTTTAAATAAGGTGTTGCAGCCAACCTTTTGGCTTTAAGTAAAGTGTTGCATTCACCCTCTTCACTTTAAATAAGGTGTTGCAATAACCCTCTTGACTTTAAGTAAGGTGTTGTACTCATCCTCTTGACTTTAAGTAAGATGTCGCCCTCACCCTCTTGACTACTGCAAACAAACTCATGACTTTGAAATAAGAGTTTGCATCTACCCTCTTGACTTTAAGTGAAGTGTTGCTCCCACTTTCATGACTTTTAAGAAGTTGCACCCACTCTCTGGCTTTAAATAGGGAATTGCACCTACGCTTATACCTTCTTAGTAATGAGTTGCACTCACCCTAATGAGTTTTAAGTAAGAGTTTGCATCCACTTTTTGATTTTAAGTGATGTGGTGCACCCACCATCATGGCCTTTAAATAAGGCATTACACCAACCCTCTTGACTTTTAAATACGCCATTGCACCCATTCTCTGGGCTTTAAATAAGGCATTGCACCCACTTTCTTGACTTTTAAGTGAGGGGTTCCGCTCTTTCTCCGGTCTTTAAATACGGTTTTGCCCCCCCCCCTCTTCTTGACTTCTCTTCCAGGATCTCACGGCAATATTGGGTCTAGGACTGCCGCTGCAAGATCCCTTACAGTGAATGGCCACACCAAACTTCGATACAAAGAAATGCTCTTCTTTTGCTTTGAATTCTTCTTCTTTTTGTGCCATGTCCCCTCAGGACGTAGACGATCATGGCTCTCCATAATTTCCTTACCTTCTTTTTAGCTCTTAATAAATTTTCTCTTTTCGTTATTTCTCCGAAACCCTGTTCCGGCATCCATTTATTTAAGCCCATCAAGACTGTTTTCCCCTGTCCCTTTTGTCCTCAATCTGTCCTGTGAGTATCAATTTTTCCAAGCCCTCATTCCTCATTATGTGCACCAGAAATTTCAACTGTTTCTTTCTGCTTACTTAGAATTGTCTTTTTTAGACTGGTTATCACATGGGAATGGATTTTACTAAACAGAAATCATTAAATAAATAAAAAAAGTAAATAAATAATAAAATAATATGGCCGTAAAATAAAGAAATAAATAACAAAATTCAATAACTGAAAGGAATAGCAGAATATTAACAGAATAAAATGAAAGTATAAATAAAATGGGGAGAATAACAGAATGCGATATCAGGTCGAAGAAGAGAAAGAATAAGAGAATACGATAACAACATTGAGAATGTAAGGAATAACAATAAAATCACAGAATATGGTAAGATGAATACCAGAATACGATAACATAATGAGAAAAGGAGAGAATAGTAGAATAGAAAACGAATTATTATGAGAATAAAAAGGCAGAATAAAGAAGCTAAGGAGAATAACAGAATACGATTAGAAAATAAGGAAAGGAAAGAATAACAGAATAAAATCGCGGATTGAAGCCAACAAAGAAGGAAGAGGAGATGAATTTTAGGAATGTGTTGAATTTAATGAAGAAAGGCGACCAATAAACAATTAAAAGAAAAACACACAGAGCTGTTTGACGTTAGCGAAACTTGGGAAATGTCCTAATTAAAACCGAATCATTAAATTGGATTAGATTCTCGGGTCGGAAAAGGAGATCAAAGTGTTGTAGGTGGCGGGTGGGTTATTACTGGTTTTTCGATGGGCTTTCCGGAAATAGCGAAGAAGTTGTTAGATGATCAATCGATAAATTTACTAGAAAACGGAGTGAGAAGTAGATAGATAGATAGATAGATAGATAGATAGATAGATATGATTCAGATGAGATAGATAGATAGATAGATAGATAGATAGATAGATAGATAGATAGATAGATAGATAGATATGAACAGGTTGAGAGAGATAGAAATGAACAGGTTGTGATAGATAGATAGATAGATAGATAGATAGATAGATAGATAGATAGATAGATAGATAGATAGATAGATAGGATACCCAATTAAGATCGAACTTGTTGTCTATGGATCGGTTGTAAGTAAGTAGCTTGCATATTTACGAAACTTTGTCTGCCACTAGGCCACATGTTGAGGACACCTTTTGAAGTTCTAACTCAGTATAGTAAGGACGAATAATGCTCCTTTGTTTACTATTGATTCATGGCGAGGTTTCCTTGATTGATATCTGATATTTATTTTTAAGTTTTGCTGTCGAATGAAATGTCCTCGTCTCTTCCCTGTAGCTTTGGCGCTGATTTTTTTTTCTTTCTTATATGTACATATGTAAATAAAGCCTTGTAACTCAGATATCGTTGATATTTACTTAACATAGATGCCTTTAGCTTAACGATAAATCGTGTTGAATACACCGATACTCGTCTGATCAGCGAAGTTAAGCAGCGACAACTGAAAACCGAGCTCATTGGAGAGAACTAGCTCATGTTAGTGCGCAATCTGTCGCAGGCGAAGATAGAGAAAAGATGATGAGACAAAAAAAGTTTCATCAAAAAGGTTCACAAACATGTAGCACTCAATGAAGATTTATATGTCTACAGCAACAGTCACTTACGAGACTACATTGCCAAGCACTGATTTACGCCATTTTGTTTAATTCACGAAAACTAGAAAGCGTCAGGACATCCCTCGAACTAACTATATATTCAGGCCCTACGGTGGGAAAATCTGCCGAGTCAGTTAGGAATCGAAAGAGACATGATCTCCGGGCGTGTATCACGTATGGCAATAAGTTGACTGGCAGCAACGTTATCCTAAAGGAACTGGAGACAATACCAGGATTTATTAACGATGGGTACAATTTTCACAATATGAGATGCGTGAATAGCATTGTGTTTATGGCCGAATCGGAAAAGAATCTCTTAGACATACTGCTGGAAAAAAACGAGAAAAAAGGACTGTCAACTGCAAGAAAACGGGATGTATTGTAATCAGCAAGAGAAAAAGACCCAAGGTCGAGATTTAAAGTGGGTTCAACGGCATTACCGTGGGGAAATTGCCCGTGCCCCCCTAGGCATTTCCCCTTTTGGGAAAGCTCAGGCCTCGGGCAATAAACCTAGTCCTCTTCCGAAGGAGATGTACTTCCTAGGGTGAAGGGTCCCTGGAGCTTGGGCTTAAAATTATTTGAACCTCCCCGAGCCAAAAGCCTGAGAATCGGTAGAGACCGCGATAAAACTCCATCTTTTAGATGCACAGTATCAAACGAAGGAAACTGAGTAAGGCAATCGCCAAAAATCCAGTTACCATATTCGTCTTCTGAATTAGTTTTAAATTATTTTAAAGAGGAATGTCTGTAAGACGAGAATTTGACTGGAAAGAAAGAAAGAAAGAAAGAAAGAAAGAAAGAAAGAAAGAAAGAAAGAAAGTGCACAAAATACATTCTGGCACCGGTTGAGATTAATGTAATTATTTCGGCCACGAAGAATTCCCCAAATATTTGTTGACTCTCAAAACGAATAGAAGCCGTGATCGCATTGCTGTGGCCACAAAATATCCCTCTATCTTCGCGGCGATTTTTGTAAGAAAATAAAAAGTTTATTATCAACCCCGCTTAATAGACCAACTGCTTCAAATCAATAACTGAACAGAGGCCGTTTTTGATATTTTATTTTACCAAATGAGTGAGCCTACGCACTTCGGTAATTTTCAGGTCGGTCGGTACAGAAAGGTTGAAGGCCTGTAAACGAGAAAACAATAACAACCAATGCGGTAAATTTTATGTTATCATCAAAAAGCTTTCTATATTGATTACGTTGATACGATACAACCAGCACCATCATATTGGGTTGATATTATTATTATTATCATCATCATCATCATCATCATCATTATTATTATTATTATTATTATTGTTGTTGTTGTTGTTGTTGGTA